GCGTATGTCGTCCCATTCGGCACGCGGCCGCAGCTGTTGCGCCGGTCTGGCTGCGCTTCTCTTTGAGCATTGCGCCTTTCCTTTTCTAGGGACGAGGCTCCAGCTGCTGCGCCGGTGGCTGGTGACGCAGCGCGAAGGTGCGGTCGCGGTCGCGGAGCAGCTCTCGCCGCGGTCCGCCATTTCTTCTGACCCCTGTGTTTCGTTGTTTAGGCGTGGGGCTGCGGGGCAGCTCTCGCCGCGGTGGCGTCTTTCCTTTTCACGCCGCTCGAGTTCTTTGTTTAGGCGTGGCGGAGCCTCGCCTCGGTTCGGTCTTTCTTTTTTACGCCGCCTCATTTCTTTGTCAGGTTTGGCGGCGGAGCAGCTCGCCGCGGCGGCGCTCGCCGGTTGGCACAACCCGATCGAGGTGCGGCGGGGCTCGTCCTCCCCTACCCCCACGGTTCCCGAACCCACCCCCTCCCCTACCCCACGGTACCCGAACCCAGGTGCGGCGGGGCTCGCTGCTGACTGACGCGTACTCGGAGCTGCGCGGGCTGGGGCGCGGGTGGAGGCTGCCCCTGCGGGTGCGCGCTCTTCTCGGCGGAGGGGGGGGGGGGGGCGGTGTGTTTACCCTTTGAAGCGCCCCTGCAAGGCGTATTTCTTCTTTCTTACGCTCGTTCTCGGGGGGAAGGGGGGGGCTGAGTGGTCTTGTTACTCGGCGCCCTGTGCTCCTCTCTTCTTAGGTGCGCTTCTTCTCGGCGGAGGGGGGCGAGGAGGCGGGCGTCGGCGAGGGCATCGCAAAGGCCCTCCTGCTCGAGGTCGTCTGCAGCTGCGTCCGCCCCCCCCTCGAGTGGCGGAGTCCGCACCGAGTAGGAGTTCCTCGTCGACGTTCTCCGCGAGGGCTTCGACCCGTCCTTTGGCGAGCTGTGAATAGAAGAGCTGTGAATAGAAGAGCTGTGAATAGAAGAGCTGTGAATAGAAGAGCTGTGAATAGAAGGGCTTCGACCCGTCCTTTGGCGCCCTCGCCACCGGCACCGAGGGAGGCGGCGCGCGCGCGCCGTCTGTCTTTGATCGCCGTGCTTCTTGTTCAGGCCTGTTCGCCACCGGCACCGAGGGCGGCCTCTACCCCGACCCCGCCGCCCGCATGTCGCACGCAGCGGTTGGCGCCTCGGCACGCCCGTGGTACGAGCCCCTCGGCGCGCCCGTGTGAACGGCGTCTCTTCACAGCGGGCCCGCTGTGAGCAGGCACGCTCGTGGTACGAGTTTCTCGGCGCGGTGCTCGCAAAGGCGCTGTGGGAGGGCATCCTCGCCGCGATGCAGCTCGGGCGCATCTGGTTCGTCTTGCCAGCGCGTGTTTCTTTTAGGCATCCTCGTCGAGTTGCCGCTGGCGCCCTTCTTCCTCTCCCTCCTCCTCGGCCGCACGAACACGGTCCACGACATGCCCGCCTTCGACGCGCAGGCGCCCTCTCTCCCCCATCTCTCCCCATCTCTCCCCACCTCTCCCCACCTCTCCCCAGATCTCCTCTGCTGTCTCGTGTTGGAGCGCGCCACTTCCCCGCCACATCTCCCCCGGATCTCCCCCAGATCTCCCCAATCTCCCCCATACCCAGCTCGCGCGCTCGCTGCGGCTGCTCCGCGACTACGACGGCGACGTCGAGGACTTGTGCCTCTCTTTCGCCGTCGACCAGTACACCGCCGAGGTGCCGCCCGAGCTGCGGCGGTCGCACGCTGTGAGGTACCCCGTCTTCGCACCCGGCGTTTCTGTTTTAGGCGCCGCCCGAGCCGCCGGGCGGACGCACGCGGCGGGGTACTTCCTTTTAGCAAGAAGTGCCCTTCTTGTTTAGGTGCCGCCCGAGCTGCGGCGGACGCACTCTCTCGTGCCCGGAGGAGCCTCGCTGCGGGTCAGCGCGTCCAACCGGAGCCAGTACATCCTCCACCTCTCGCACTACCGGCGCAGCACGCAGCGCGGGGAAGAAATACCAGGCGCGCAAACTTCTTCTTTGAGGCGCCGCCGCGCCGTGTCGTAGGCTCAACACGCAGCTTCGCGCGGCCGCCGACGCCTTCCTGCGCGGCTTCGCCCAGGCGCCGCGCGCATCTCGCCCCAGACCTCCGCCATATCTCCCCACATCTCCCCCACATCTCCTCCACACCTCGCCCACATCTCCCCCACATGTACATGTACATGTCCCCCACATCTCCCCCACATCTCCCCCACATCTCCCCCACACACTCGCCCACATCTGCCCCACATGTAGATGTACATGTCCCCCACATCTCCCCCACATCTCGCCCACATCTCCCCCACATCTCCCCAGGTGGTGCCGCGCGAGTGGATCCGCATGTTCTCGGTCGCCGAGCTGCAGCTTGTTCTGGGCGGCTCCGACGCGCCGCTCAACGTCGCCGACTGGCGGCAGCACGCCACCTACTCGGGTCACTTTCTAGACACTTCCGAGACACTTCCGAGACACTTCCGAGACACTTCCGAGACACTCCCTACTCGGGCGCCCTCTACCCCGCCGCCCCGCGGCGCGCTGCGCCTCTTTCTTTGTCCCGATGCACTTGTTCTTTGGCGCTAGGTCGCTACCCCCCACCCGGCTCGAGAGCCGCGGCCCTTCTGCTGTCTGCCGCCGATTGCGTTTCTCTTCTCTCTCTAGGCGGCTACCACGCCGACTCGCCGCCCGTGCGCTGGTTCTGGCAGGTGCTGGCCGAGTACCCGCCGCCGCGCCGCGCCGCTGCGCTCAAGTTCGCGACGTCGTGCTCGCGGCCGCCGCTGATGGGCTTCGGCTGGCTGCAGCCGCCCTTCTGCATCCACCTGGCGGCGGAGCCTAGAGGGGGGGATACGCACGAACGAAACTAGCCCTCGACGCGTCCTCCGCGGTACTCGGCCGTGCTGCAGCCGGGTGCACTGTATTCGTAGCCCGTGTGTGCACGCGGCGCTCTGAACACTCGGCACGACACCGCCTCCACGCCCCGACCTTGACAATACTACCAAGTACTGCCACTGCAGGCGGCGGACACGTCGCGGCTGCCCACCTCGGCCACGTGCATGAACCTGCTGAAGCTGCCGCCGTACGGCTCGCTCGAGGCGCTGCGCGACAAGTTCACCTACGCCATCGAGGCGGGGGCGGGCTTCGAGCTGACGTGAGAGGGGCGGGTGGGTGGAGGAGCGACGCCGTGCCTCGCCGAGCAGGTAGAGAGGTGTGGGTAAACTTTTTGTGACACGACCCGATATGGACAACGGTTTAACTGTGTAAATGCCGTGGCGCGTGGGGCTCCTGTGAGTCCTGTTGCAGTTGGCGACGGTATATCATTTCCCACTATGCCACGTCGCCCAGTCGTTTGCCCGAATAAGTGGGCCCGCCGTTCTCCATGGTGCGCGTACCTCCCGCCGACCGAGACTCCTCCAAGACACTTCCCAGACACTACCCTCAGCATGCGTCTCGCCTTCACAGCTGACCCCCCTGGGTGCCCCGCCTTGCAGGTGCTCGTGAGCGAGGTCGCGATGGAGGAGCTCAATGAGATTACTGTATCGACGTGCTCTTCCAGATCAACACTGCCGCGCCCCTCTTCTTCCAGCGCGGACAGCGCCTCCGGCCTGCCATCGAGGTGATGTTCGCCGTGCAGATAATGTACTACGATGAGCGGTGCCAGGCTGGAGAGATGAGGGATGTGACAATCCGCCAGCGAGAGGTTGTGTGCCAGACGCTCCGCAGGCTGCGCTGCGTCTGCGCCGGGCGTTGCAAGTGCGAGATGTCGCTCTCGGACGCGCACCGCTTCCTCAGAGATTGGAGCCGTCTCCTCCTCACCCGCTTCCGCGTCGACAACCTGCACCTGACACACAGCACCACGGCGGGGGGCGGCGACATGGGCCCACTTCTCACTCTCGTGCAGAGGCAGCAGTCCTCCTACGAGGACCTCGCCGCAAAGTCGCGCGCTGACGTGCGCGGGCTGGTGGCTCTCCTCAGCCGCTTGGAGACCAGGCTCGACTCGCTCACGCCCGCCTCCGATTTCCAACTGCCCCCCCAGCGCCGGCCTAGCCCTGTCTCGGCGGCAGGGCCGACAAGCGGCGCATCCTCGAGGAGGTCCACACCAGCCTCCTC